CCCCCCCAGGCTTGAAACACTCCTCCAAATCATCCACTAAAGGTTCATCTGCATGGATTTCCGCGAGTCGCCAAGCTAAACCCACCGCCACTCCGCCACCTTTTGCGTAGGCTTCGGAGTCTTCAGGAGGTGGTTGTAGCGGCAGGCAGCGTGCACCGCGCCGCCATAGGCAGCAATGGCAGCACCTCCGGTGGTGATGGCGGCGATGGAACCGCCGCACAAGGCGCTGACATCCAGGAAGTCCTGGTGAAGTCATGGCAAGAACAGGATCGGAGGAGTGTTTGGGAACCTCGCGTGGTGCACAGGAGGTGCCAGTGCAACCTTTAATCCACGCGGGAAGCATTCAAGAGAATCAAAAACGTCTAAACAATGTACGAAAACGTAGTTCGCAAAAATACCCAACAGATTCTGAACATGCTGCTGGTGTTTACGAACCTGCCGAGGTTTTGTGAAGATCAGGCATTGAACATGAGCCTCAGGTTTTTTTTGAAGGTCAGATGCAGGAAAAGGGGTTCAAACAATAGAAACAACATAGCTCCCCACCCCATAGTTTCTGAACGTTTTTGTTGTTTTTTGTTTGTTTGAACATGTTGAGGTGTTCTAAAGGTCAGATGCATTTGCAATGAATGTTTTTGTTGACGATCCCTGTACCATTCGCATTGGTCAAACATGTCACCTCTCTCCCTGCACCCCAAATCTAGCAATAATCAATGTGTCAATGTGCATAAAGCACTACAAAACTGTTGAGTTTGATGCAAATGCAAGTCCAGGGAGGGTACCCAGTATATATGCAATTATATACTACTGTATATGTGGTAAGTTGGCTGTAAGTTCATTCTACACAAATAGCTTTTCAATCTATTTCAATCTGATGGGTCCTGGCAGTGAACCACGATGAGGTTGATGAAGGTGACAACCTGACCTCACTCATTGGTGCAACGATCAAGTGTGGCTCCACGGCAAAAAATACCAGGCTGTTTCTACACGCTCCAACCGCGCGACGTCCACAGGTGCACCCACCAGAAACATGCATTGCACATGAACGACAACCCTTGAATACCCTTGAGCTGGAAAACCCACCAGAAAACCACATGTCAGGAATTTTGCAGGAGCCCACGTGTTGTTTATATGGATATAAGGCAAACGGGCAACCTCTTTTCTTCAGCCTTGAACCCTTTTTTCTCACCGTTTCTTTTTTGCCCCTCTACTCTACCCTTTCTTTTTCAACCCCCTTTCTGTGGTTGGTGTGCTGGTTGGTTGGCTAGCTTGATGTTGATTGATTGCGTGAGGTCCCTCGATTTTTGCCTCTGGTCCCTGTCACTCCTGCGTGGTCCTTACGCACCTTTGGGAATCAGAGCTCCAAAACAGCTTTGATATGCTTTGATGCTCACCAAACACTCTCAACTCCAAAGGCTGTCCATGTGCTTCGTGGTCGCTTCATCCCTGGGACAAAAAACGTGTCGCCGCTGGAGCCAGGGACGAAACCGTCATAAGCATTTCACACTGATCACCCAGCCCTTTGATCATGGCGGGACGGCAAGGTCGGCGGCGGAAGCCCTCTAAAAACATAATGACTGTACGCAAGATGCCACGGCCTTCGATCAAGCGTGGACTACAGCAAGTCGAAGCAAACTCATGCCTGCACAAGCACACTAAATGACAGTGAGGCGAGTAATTAATCGAACAAGCAATCGAGTCAAGTGACTGATGTATGCGACAGCTCCAGCAATGTCCACAGTGCACAGCGCATCTGGAATGCCCTTCAGGACGTTCAAGGGGTTCTTCTCAGTCGCGAACTTTCCACAGCGATTCACGTTCACTGCCTTGTTGATGGCCAAACCTCGCTTGGAGATTGGCCAACGACAAAACCCACGCCGCCTACACGTTTCAAAGTTTCAAATGCCATCAGCCAAAAGAACAGTCATGAACCTGTTCCCCCGTTAAAAAAAAAACATCCCTACAAACACAAAGCCGAGGCTCCGATGTTGGCGATGTTGGCTGCCACCATGCCCACATCCACACCACACTGGACGCCATTTCCAACTGGCCCTTCACCGATCAACAAACGACGCCCAGCTTCAGGCGTGCGCACTGTCTGATCACCCAACACGCTGATCTTGGTAGTGGTCAAAGATGGGGGCGTCGGCGTGCAAACCTCAGCCGTCACTGGAACCGAGCAGGAAAAAAAACCATGGACCCTGACCAAGGGCTGTTTGGAGCATCTGGGTGAGGCCTATTTTATTTAATAGGCCTCCTTTTGGACCTCTTTGATCCTCGAAGAGATCGAGTCGTTGCCCCCTTTTGGCGCCCTGGTGAATCTGGCACTAGTAGAATTGAGTAATGACAATGATAGGTTCTTTGAATAAAACATCACTAAACCAGCAAATGATTGAAATCTTCGAGTTCCAATCAGTTCTCTCGTTTGAGCTCCTGAACTATGACGCACAGCCATCTAGGCCAATCTAGGCACCGCCGCGCCCAGGCAGGCGCCCGCGGAGATCTCGCCAAAGGCGGCCACCAGGCCTGTGACGCCCGCCGCGCAAACAGAGTCGACGTTCAGCGACAGAGCGCAGTTGGAGGCTGCGAGGGAAATCTTGGCCGCGGCGTTGCCCACCTTGGCGAGGGAGTCGCTTCGCAGAGCTGAGTTCGTTTCTTGGTGCGTTGCCTGGGTGGATGAACATTCTTAGGTTCATTAATGGTGGTTCGCTCATTAGGGGTCAAATGGTAGGTGAAAACACCAGAAGGTGAAGAAAGGTGCCAAATCAAGTCCACTTGGTTGGATCATTGCGATAGCTGATATCTAGCTTGTACCTCCGAGAATGGAGGCTTGTCTGTGTCGACCCGCTGGCATAGCTGTAGTATTAGGAGATGAGGTCAACTCGCCCATTGGACTTGCTTCGGGCAGGAACCACACAAATACATGTCGATTCCCTTTTTGAGGTCGTTTCTGCTCAGAAGTCAACTTGGGACCCTGCTCCCAACCTTGGATACATTAGATTGTTCTTGTGGTCATCTCAAGAGGGTGAAGAAAGCAGCCCATCAACGTTCTCACCAGCTTTCGGCGCCTTTCGGCGCCACCCTCCTTCAGTCCGCTTTGAAAAGGAGGACTTTCTCGAGTCAGCAACCCGATGCTGATCAAGTCTGAAACAAGTTCTCTTCGGGTGTTGAAAAAAAAACACATCTATATGCACATCTATATATGCCCCGTCTTTGTCCAAAGATCTCGGACGTATATAATTCACATCATCCACGGCACCCATGCCACCAGGATGGATGCATCCACCTGGCATGCCTTCTCAGACTCCCCGTCGCGGGGAGGAGGGCAGGTGCGGACGACGCCGTTGATGTCGTCGCCCATGCCCACCACCGAGACAAAGGCCTCCAACTGGTCAACAAACAAACAAGATTGCAGGCAGGTTCTCTTGATGCCTTCGAATTCCCTTGGCTTTCTCAACTTCGTCGTTTCTTCGTCGTTTGCCTCCAAAATGTTGAAGGCGCATTCTGCATGTCCGGCCTCCTGCGGGAACGAAGGCGTTGAGAACGGCCGACCGGCAAGACACACCGGGCTCTCGGCTCACGGCTCATCAGAGTCATCAGAGTCACTCAAGACACACCAGGTTGAACAGTTGAAAGAACAACACCTATAAGAGCACACTACTTGTGGAGCAGCACACCACTTGTGGAGCAGCACACTTGTGGAGCACACAAGGAGGTGATGATGTCCTGTTATGTCCTGATCATTGAGTCCAAGACTCACCAAAAAGCACTAGGTTTACTCTGGTTGACACCAGGTAGTTCTGAACTGCACCAACTTCTTTGCAAACTTTTGGTGCTGCCTGTGTCCGAAGGGCAGGGTGAAAAAAACCATCCAGCCACGCGGAGGACGCTGGATTCACGTGCTTCGCTCTAAAGTCTCTAAAGATTCATAATTTGCTGAAGAGGCTGAATCATATGACGATCATCTGAGCGAGCGGCAAAACTCTTGTGTACTTTGTGGTGATTCCGGCAGTAGGTATCGGTTTTGGTAGTTCGCTATATCGGTTTACAATGTTTGGGGCACATGTTGAGGAATAGGAACCTGACAGGAGAATAACATGCAAGCGGCGGCATGCTTGTGACAAACTCTTTTTCTTACAGATCTGTTTCAGATCCACATGCGGACATGTGTTCAAAAGAAACACAAAAAGAAAAAGTCATGGGATGAAGCTCTGTTCATGTTGACAACTTTCATTGTTTTCTGGGGTATCGGTCCTCATCGGTCCGCAAAAGGAAAATGAAATGCCCAAATTGCCGACCCCGGGAGGCAACCGATCCCCTTTCACGGAAGGTACGGCCAAGGGACTGGCTTCCACATGTCAGTCGTTGCTCGAGTGTATCCATATACCCTAGGTATCGGTTTTGGTAGTTCGCTCTATCGGTTTACATACTCTTCTGTACATGTCCAACAACAGTTCCCAAAATGAACACTTTCCTACACAGACCCTTTTGCACCTCTCTCATCTCTTACAGTATCAGATTTAACCTCCATGAAGAGTGGATTGAGTGGATGAGACGAAAGGGAGGGACCTCGCTGCCGTAAATTCAGCCACGGGCCAATCAACAGTGATTCCACGAAGTCTGGCAGACCTCCGATGAACAATTGTTCTTGAAAGTGCTTGATAGGTGCCGTGTGCTAAGAACACAACATTTCAAAACACATACAAACTTAATAAGTATTGTAAGTATAACCAAGTCGTTCTGCTTTCGTTTGTACATGTATCGTTGTTGTTGAGTTGTGTTGGAATCGGCTGAAATGACCTCCACCCAACCTCAAGACACCACTGCAGCCACTCTCCACACCTTTTGGATCCTTTTCCGCTTCCCCAAGCATACCGAACCACTCGCGTCTTGGTGGCTCCTTGTTGTGCTGGCCCCGGCGGAAGTCTTTGATGGCCTGGCGGTCCTTCAGAACGGTCAAGGCATCCAACTTGCGGATGTGGTGCTCCTGGAGCCGGGTCCGGTCCTTCCAACAACGTCGACCTAGTCTCTCCGTCCACGCTGGTGCAACGTCTGAACCCCCTGGTGCAACGCCCAGAAAACGGTTGGCTGTTGGGCGTTGAGCTAACGAACGAAAGGCTCTTGGTTGCCCTGCACCGCAAAGAGCTGTTGGCTGCGTTTTTCAACTACACCATCTTACATCCTGCCATCATCCTGCCATCGGAATGGCGTTGGACCCGGCACTGGAATTTGGAGCATCCGAGTTCAAACTCGGCACCGCGGGCACGGCGGCTCTCGGTCTGTCCACCATCGGGTTGGTTCATGGTTCAACGTGGTGTGACAGTGTGGTGTGCCGTCACATCTTATAACCATTAGCCAAACAATGCCAAACATGGATGGCCTGTCAGAAGTGGATGGGAACAAAGAACGGCGACACTAACGGACTTCTTGTCTTCTAGCAGTTGTCTTCTACATGGCAGGTCAGCTGGATGCCCACAGCACACCTCTCCATCTAACTCCCGCAAGTCCACACCTGGCCCCCCGTGTGCGGGTGCGGACCCGAAGGCCTCCCAGTCTTTTTGGGCATCGTGGCCCGCTTTCGTCATGGCTTTCAAGATCGTCTTCTCCGCCAAACTCCGATTCTTCACCTCTCTCAGGGGCCGGTCGCAGCGGCCGAAAGACTCTGCGGCGCGAACGCATCTTTGGACGGGCGACTTGCTGGTCACATCGCTCTCCGGTCGCAGCTCGTTCAGTGAACATGGATGAGTGAAGGACACCAAAGGAGCATAATCTAAATATGTTTTTATATTGATGTATTGACGTCACGAAGGCAGCATCTCTGAGAACTTCCTTTTCACTACTTGTCCTGCTTGACCCAAGGGAACCGCCCACCTCCAAAAGCTTCTTGCGAGTCTTCAGAAGTGCCTGCAAACAAATACTGAATGCAACTATCATGACAACATAATAATCACGGTACAACTATCATGACATGAAGGCTGGAAAACGAAAACAACACACTTTGACAGATTTCGATAGAATGTTTGTCAGTTCTTTGCTGCACGCCACATGTCCGCCTCATGTCAATCTGCTTGTGACAAAGCTCTTATGGCCTCATCCATCTGCGCCTCGGACTTTCCCTGTAAGGCATCCAAGTTGAGGCATTGGTTGGAGAAGCGCAGAGATCCCAGGCCCACCACTGCCAAAAGGACTCCAGCCACACACAAGGTCTTCTTCACCGGCCATGAGCCTTATTGAACAGCAAGCAGCAGGGCGTCCCAACTGCAGATCTTTCATCATCTGTCAAATAGATAGGAGTGACATGTGCTTCATTTCTGAGTTTCATGTGACACCTCCTAGCAACTTCCCAACTCAAGAAACCTTTTCAACGTTTGGATGCCTTCTCCACCCAGCCCGTCTAAGACTCACCTCGCGCTGCGATCCGCGCTGCGTCTCGCGCTTTTTCTCGCCCAGGCACGGTGTGACACGATCTCCTCAGAGCCGCTGTCACCTTCCACTGCGACGAAGCTTCGCGAGGCCATGGCAACGAAGATGACGAAGACGATGCTCACAGGCGATGCTTGATGGCCACAACGGCTGCATGATGCTTCAAGGCTGGTGGGATTCTCCGAAGGCTTCGGCTTCCGATCTTGGATTGAACAGGGTGGTCCCAGGGCTGGAGAAAGTGGATCCTTCTTGGGGCCACTGGACTCCACGAAGAAATCCACAGGGGATGGCTCGCAAAGCCTCCCTGTTCTGCTAGCTGCTAAATATGCTTTCTGCTCCGCTTTTTTGACTTGGCTCGGCTGGGTCGTGACAAATGGACCATGAACGCCAACCACCAAGGTCCGGTACCAAGGTCCGGTGCAGCTGTCTGTGAAGTTGAGCCCGATGGGGTGAAAAAAACATCCCGAACTCAGTGGACGATCATGCGACAGTTCAGAAACACTTGTTTTTGTTGTTTTGTCGTCATCGTTCAGCGGGCTGGAGTCGGAGCCATCATTTTGAGGAAACATCGAAGGGGATGTAGACGAAGAGGTGATGAGGGAACTTCACAGGTGCATGAAAACTGCGTCAATTCCAGGCCTCCCAGTTGAGCTGCTGCAGTGAGAGCCTTCGGAGATTCCCCCAAAAAGCAGGAACCATTCTTTTACAACCTTTGAACAAGGACTCTGAAGTTTTGGCAGGTTACATCAAACCGAACTTATTGTCCAACATGGTTGACCAAACAAGCTCGCTGCGAACCAGCTGTGGGAGGCCAACAAAAACAGGACTCACTGGGACATTGCCCAATGAAGGATCCCGCCGGGATCGCCACCAGGATCGCCCCTATGGTTTCTTTTGCAGGGAATGAAACACATGAAGATATGAACTTTCCGGTGACAGATTAATCATGATTATATAATCGATGTCTTGTTGTATTGTTTTCCCTGCACCTTAGCAACGGGCGAGTGCTGAGCTTATACGGATCCTAGCAGGTTCAACATGGACTTCGCATCAGGGGACAAGCCCTGGGAAGCAAAGCATGACAAGACACTGAGCATCAGGGTAGTTTTTTGGTTGGAATGTAGCCGCTTGTTCTAAGAAGCAAACCACCACGAAGTCCAGTCAAAAGAGGGAGCAACCTGTGGCTCCTTCATATACATCTCATGTATAACTTTCGTGGCCCTAACACTCCTTGAAGGGTCCGGCCGCGCGTGGCGTATCCAAGCCGCCCTCCATCAAGCGCAAGAAGATCTCCTGCCATGTGAACCCCAACCATCTGCAGGGAGCCTGCTTTAATGATCTATCCGCCCACTCTCTAAGGGTCGACAAAGGGCCTATCGATGGTCTTCCCCATTTCCAGTCTTTGTGCTCCATACGTAGATGACACACTCATCAAGACTGGATAAAACTGCGTGGCTTTGCCGCCCCTGCTGTCGACAGCACCAGTAATCCCGAGTACCTATTTAAAAAGCATCCCCAAGTAAAAAGCACCACGTCCGAATCCCTAAGTTTCGGCTTTCTTTGTTTTTAAATTACCGCCCTTTCAAGCCGCTACTGAACTACCAACATGGTCGCTTTTGGGGGTAGTTTCTTCTATTAGGCTCCAAAAACAACCGTAACTGCCCGCATCTGTCCGCCCTGCCTATCCACCATGACACGGCGCGTTTACACCAGCAGGCTTTCCTTCCCCCAATGGCGCGGACTCACGCTAACGCGCTTTCCACCGAGGTCACGCAAAACCGCATGGCACAGCGACATCACCTTTCGAAAGCTTTAGTTGTTAGTCTAATGAAGAATCACTATTCTAATAAAGGTTTTTGTAGGGGAAAAGGCAGACCCTTCGATCTGGAGGCTCTTTGAGTTTTTGATATGAGTTTAATAAATGAATTTATATAGAATAGTGAATAGTATACAATTTTTCTGGATGACTTTTGGGTTTTGAAGCTCTTCCCAGGTGATCCTATTTTGGACCCCCCGATTTCAGGGACCCCCTATTTTACAAAAATGCGACCGAGTTGACAGGGTTAGGGTCCCTTCCACCCATTCCACTCTTCTCCC